AGGGAATGGGTGTTTCATGGTCAACTCATGTCCTATGACACATGCAGAACTGGAAGAGGCTTTTAAGAAACACAGCACAAGCAAGGCTAGGACGTATCCAATTTCTTGTTACAGACAGTGATAAACCAAACGATTGGCTTTCCTAGGGGACATAAATTATAGGACAAGATGGACCAAAAGAATAGGAATATCAACAAATATTTAGAAGCATAGTTTATATTTGTTGCTTTTCATGTTTACACACAAAAGCTACCATAGGGGTCAAAATATGAATGGCATGGAAAAGCAGCAAATGAAGAAATCATTGTTTTAAAAAGTAGAACGCCTAGTGCCTAGGAGGTCCAGAAGGTCTGGGTGCCTCACCCAGGTCTAGGCGGGCGCCTAGTGCCCGGCACCGGACGACCGCCCAATGGCGGAAATGCCCCTCGTTGAGGGCATTTGTTGATCTTTTTTAAATAAAAAACGGGAAAATCATGGGTTGTAGGCTCATTTGAAATGTAAACCACATTAGAGCCTATTTGAGAGAGAGAAGATCCCCAAAAAAACAAGTTTTTTGTGATTTTCATAGAATCGAAGGGTTTCTCAAAGTTACAAGAAATCGATCTAAGCACAACCCATTGATATTAGGATTTAGTTTTGAATGTTTTATAAGTCAATTAGAGGGCTTTTTAGAATATTTTGACCTTAGAAACATCTTAGAGATGGAAGTTTGGAGATCGAGCAATCAAAGTTAATGAATTTTTTTTTTTATTGCTTGTATTATTTTGAAATGCCTTCTTCGGATCTAATCAAAGTGGTGATCTGGGTTGGAAATATGGCTACATCCTGAATCCTTTGGATAAAAATTGCATAAAATGCAAGTTTTGTGATAAAGATACAAAAGAGTGCATAAACAGATTCACGAAATATCTTGCCAATATCAAGGGAGATATTGCCCTATGTAAAAAACCTCCAAAAGTTGTTAAAGGGGAGATACAAAATTTTCTGAGTCCTGTAAAAATGAGAAACAGGTATCGATAGCAGAGATGAGGCCTGGGGTTTGGGTCAATTATGACAATGATGATAGTAATGAGGACGCGGAAGGATGTCGAGAGGTACAACAATCCCATATTAGGGGGCCGGGAAAGAGAGTTGTAATTGCTTCTGGGAGTGGGGGGCCTAAGAGACCTTGGGTTAGAGGGCCTATGGATTGGTTTTTTGCCCTAGCTTGCCCCGGGGTTGCAGAAGAAAAAACAAAGAAGCGAACCACTATTGAAAATAGACTCAAGAAGAAAGAGAGAAATAGAGATGCACAATACGTTGCTAGATGGTTTTATGAGACGAGCATTCCTTTCTATACCGCTCGCCTAAGCAACTTCTACACCTTGGTAGAGGCAATTGGCCAATTGGGCCTAGGATAAAACCCCCAACCCCACATGAGCTTTCAGAGCCTCTTTTGAAAAAAGAGGTGAGTATCACGAGGGATATTGTTGATGTTCAGAAGGATGCATGGGTTTAGTATGGAATTTTTGTTATGACTGATACTTGGAGTGATAGGAAGAGAAGCCAAATGAATTTGCTGGTGAATTGTCCTTGAGGGACTGTTTTTTGAGGTCTGTTGATGCCTCTGATTATAGCCATGATGCCCATTACATATTCTAAATTATAGAGAAGGGAATCAAGGATGTTGGGGAGCAGCATGTCATACATGGCTAATTTGTTGGGCATAGCTTACTCTAGAATCTTTTAGGGCCAGTTTGGATGTCAAATTAAAAAAAATTGTTATTCAATAAAATTATAGTTTTTCAAATGTCAATTGCAAAAAATAACAAGCCTTTTCTCTTTTCTTATAAAGCCGTTTGGGTGTTAAAAGTATATTTTTCTCTCTGCGATTCTCTCCCTCAACAAAAAGGGGATTTACAAGTAGAGGAGGCACAAGCTCAGTGGAAACTATGTGATTCTCTCCCTCAACAAGAAGGGGATTTACATATAGAGGATGCGCAAGCTCAGTGGAAAGAAATCTTTTTACCGATAGAGCAGGCACAAGCTCAGTGGAAAACAATCTGTTTACAAAAAAGAATTTACGGGTAGAGAATGATAATGAAAGAGAGTAAATTTCGGGTTGTTTTTGGAAATCTTTTTGCAAGCTCCAAATGATCTCCACTGTGTTTGTAAAAGCAGGATGCTTTTCGAAAACAATTGTTTTTTGAACATTCTCTAGTTGATCTTGGAACTGTATTTGCAAGCTCTGAACTCCCACCATGGATGGCTTCATCGAAGCTCAAAACAATCTTTTCATAATGCTTCGATTGTAAAATTGTGAAGCCCTCAGGCTTCGATTCTTCTCAAGACTTTGTTCTAGAAACCCTCTTAGACATCGACACAAGATACATGGAAACCCTAGCTTGTTCTCCCATTCATGTGGCAGATCACAATGCCATATTTTTTATGCCATTAGAGAGAGAAAGAGGAGCTCTCAAGACACTGGTTCTAGAGAGAGAAAGAGGAGCTCTCGAGACATGGGTTCTAGAGAGAGAAAGAGGAGCTCTCGAGACACGGTTTCTAGACAGAGAAAGAGGAGCTCAATAACTGGTTATGGAGAGAAAAAGAGTAGCTCTCTCAATAGCAGTAGTTCAGAAAAAGAGAGTAGATTTCGGGTTGAAGTAGTTTAGAGAGAGAGAGAGAGAGTAGATTTGGGGTTTCTGAGGTTTCACAGTGTGGGTTGTTGGGTCACACGGTGGGGTTTGCACGGGGGTGAGAGAGTCGCACTTCCATAAATAAAAAAATTCAGGTCTGACTTGAATTTTTTTTTACGGTAACTTTTGCCTTAATATTGCAGTATTTTTTATTTCAATCTAAAAATTAGTAAAATCTTAAAGTTGTCCAAACAGTTCAATTCTATTTCACAAGATTTTTGGATTGCAATCCAAAAAGATTGCAATTTTGGGTACATCCAAACTAGCACTTAGACACCATGTGCAACACATTGTATAGACCTCATACTTGAGGCTCTTGGCAGTTTGAGCGAAATTTTAGGTGTAGTGAAGAAGGCAAAGCCAGTTACGAATTTCATTTATAGTCAGACTTTCACCCTCAGCATGATGCGTAGATTTACAAAGAAGAAAGAGATTGTGAGGCCTGGGGTCACGAGGTTTGCAACCTTGTACTTATGCTTCGATAGCATACATTCGAGGAGAGTCCAATTGAGGCAGATATTTACTTTGGATGAGTTGGAGAGAATGCAAGTGGTCCAAGGATCAGGTTGGAAAGAAGGTGAAAGATATTATTTTGTCTAAGGGTTATTGGTGAGGGGTGAAGGGTGAAGGGCCCTCTTAAGGTATTTTTTCCTCTTGTCAAAGTCCTTCACATAGTTACTGGTGACAAGCCTTCCATGGGCTACATATATGAGGCTATGGAGAGATGCAAGAGAAAGATAGCCCAAAATTTAGATGATGATGTGAGCCGTTATAGCCTATTTCATAGATTATTGATGAGAAGTGGGATAGGTAGCTACATCGGCCATTGCATGCAGCTAGTTATTATTTGAATCCAGTTTTTTTTATGCTGATAGAGATATATACACAAATGACACAATTATGACTGGATTTAATTAGTGTGTAGAGGTGCTAGTTCCTGATTTGGATATCTAAGATGTTATATGCGTTGATCAGCTAAAAAGTTACAAGTGCGCATTAAAGTCCTTTGGGAGTCCAATGGCGATAAGGCAAATGACCAAAATTGATCTAGGTAATAATATTCTTAAGTTCCTCAAGTTCAAGTTTAAGAATAATCGATACTTGAAGGACAGATTTGCTTATGGAGAAAAGAGAGACCCCCTCATATCAAAAAATATGGACAATGCTATGGAATGGTTAGTTGACGATGATCAGGTCGAGAGGCATGAAGAATTGACATGGGATATGGTCATGGAGGCCTCAGGGCATCAACCGACCCTCTAAGGGCCACTAGATTTTCTTCCCAGAGGACGAGGGTGGAGGAAGAGGAGGAAGCAGAGGCGGATTCAGAAGAGACAAAGGAGGACAACCATTATGTCGAGGAGGGAGATGATTTCGACGATGATGGCTTCGACTCTGATGCATATGATGCAGATGCAGCTAACCCTACTTTTTTCTATGATGATTGATGAATGATGAATTGATGATTAAAGATTCTTATGAGAATTCAAATCTATAATTTATATATTATATTTCTTTCATTTTGTTTTTCTCCGCTTGGTTGTGTATTGTGGATTTGTTGTTCACTGGTTTGATAACTTTGGTTTGTAAATTTTAAGTTTTAACTATGAGTGGAGTGTGGACTATGGATAATTAGATATGGACTAATGGAGTATGGAGGAGTGTGTGCTATGTGGATTGTGTATTATAGACATTTGATGTGCCCTACGTCCCTAACTCTTATGTGTTATACAGTTATAGTGTTAGTCTTAAACTATAGAGTATAGACATTTTTCTTTCTATTGGGCCGCCCAGGTTCTAGGCATTCGCCTAGGCGCCTACCTATCGGGTGGCCTGGACCCCCCCGGCTGCCTAGTGTTTTTTGAAACACTAGAAAAAATATTTGGCATTATAGGAGGTATTTCTTTGGCATGAATGACATATCAGTAACTTACATGGGAGATTGCTGCCTCATTTTTTTCTAATCCTTGTTCTTTTTTCTTTATTCTTTTTTTGTTTTTGGAGTGAAGGTGGCTGATGTCTCTTAAATATATTAATTTTACAAGGATAAGTGCAATAGCATCACTAACACCCACACAAAATGAGTAATAATATTTAGCATATATTCATACACAAATTATAAGGAACTCATTGAGGATTGCAAGCTACCAACCTTGCCTTTTGAGGTCTTCAATTGCCTCATCTCTGGGATCACGAATGGGTCCATAAAAATTCCTCTTCCACATCCCATTCTTACGGCCATGGGTTCACTGAAATCACAAACGCTATGTAGAGAATCAACAATATCTCGCGGCGGACAGCAAAATATAGGCTGAATTTCGAAAAGCTCCGCCCAAAATTAGCAAACCCTAGACTTGGATGTTGTTTAATGGCCTTGTTGTTGAAGACAAACAGAACTCTAATACCAAATTGAAGCATGAAAAACTTAAGAAGAACAGAAAAACAATAGTAATTCAGGCCAAACACAAGCAATAATTAGAAAAACCTAGGGTTTCTTCCCTAACCCAGCTAAGGCTTCAAAAGGTTGGGGCTTTTCCTTCCCTTTCTAAAATAATCACATGAATGACCACTAAAGGGCCCATCTCTGAAACAATATTTTTAAATATTCCAGGACATTAAATGTCCATACAATGAGTAAAATGACCCACAAGTCCTAACTTAAAATTCTTAACAATAATTTTATCCTTGATAAAGCAAAGTATCCATGAAGAATTAAGAGGTCAATGAGAGGTCGAGAGTTTATTTTTAAAAATTATTAAATGACGAACATAATGAGAACACAACGGTAGAAGGAACCGTTGGCATAAATGAGGGCAGATGTCACAGATACATCTGTAGAATTGGGATATCGGAAGTTAAAGAAGCTTTGAAAAGGATGAAGATATGAAAGGCTTTAGGACCATATGGTATCCCGATAGAGGCTTGGAAGTGTGTGGGGCCGATCGAATTGACTGGCTGACCAAGTTGTTCAACAAGGTATTGAGAACAAAGAAAATGTCAGATGAATGGAGGAAAAGTATTGTGGTACCTATTTACAAGAACAACAGAGACATACAGTATTGTGCGGACTATCAAGGGGTCGAACTTATGAGCCACACTATGAAGATGTGAAAGAGTAATTGAGCAACGACTAAGGCATGAAACGAGTTTATCAAAAAACCAATTTGGTTTTATGCCAAGGAAGTCAACAATGAGGCTATTTTCTTACTTACGCAACTGATTGAGAAGTTTAAGGCAAAGGGAAAAGACCTCCACATGGTCATTATTGATCAAGAGAAAGCCTATGATAGAGTAACTTGAGATCTAATTTGATGGGTGATGAAAAAGAAAGAAATCGCCACACACTACATCGACTTGATGAGAGATATGTACGAGGGAGCGCTAACTAGTGTGCAAACAACTAGTGGAGAGACGAGTGAGCTTTAGTGACAATAGGTCTACATCAGGGGTCAGCGTTGAGCACATACCTCTTTGTCTTAGTTTTGGACAACTTAACTAAGCGCCTACAAGATGAGGTACTATGGTGTATGTCGTTCGTAGATGACAGTTTCGATCGAAGAGACTCGAAGAGGCGTCGACACAAAGTTATAACTTTGGAGGGATGCTCTAGAATCGAAAGGTCTTAGATTAGTCGAACTAAGACAAGAGTTTATGGAATCCGAGTTCAGTAATAGTAGGAGTAGGAGTAGGAGTAGAGATGAAGAAGTAGTTAAGATTGACAGTCAAGAAATACAAAAAAGAGTGCACTTTCGATATTCTGGGTCAATAATCTAGGAAAATGGAGAGATTGAGGAAGATGTCACACATATAATTAGAGTTGGGTGGGTAAAGTGCAGATGTGCAACTGGAGCTTTATGTGATCCACACATACTAACGAGGCAAAAGGGAAAAAACTATATGACAGCTGTAAGACCAACTTTGCTTTATGGGGCGAAATATTGGGCGGTTAAGAAAAAAACATACTCATAGGATGAGTGTAGCTTAGATGAGGAAGTTGAGATGGATGAGTGGCATGACAAGAAGGGATAAAATTCGAAATAAATACATTTGGGAGAACTTAGGTATGGCTCCAAAAGAGAATAAGATGAGAGAAAGTAGACTTACGTGGGCTAGCCATGTGCTGCAGACCCAATACAACACCAGTTAGGAGGTGTGAGTTAGTTCAAATGGAGCGCTCAAAAAGGGAAAGGGTAGGCCCAAAAAGACATGGTTAGGAGTACTGAGAAAAGATATGGGGACTTATGTCCTCACTGAGGGTATGGCTGGTGATAGAGAAGAATGGCGGATTGGATTCGTGTAGTTGACCCCAAATAGTTGGGTAAAGGCTCGGATGATGATGATAAAATAAAATTTCCCATAAACACTCTAAATACATTTGTAAACAAATCCTAAAAAATCTAAAAATATAAAAAACAAAATCCCCAAAAAACTAAAATGCTAAAAATAAACCCTAAAACTAATATCAAATATGCATCCCTTGATATTAAACAAAAATAAAAATATGAACAATTTTGTCCTGCATCAATCAGGACAGTTGTTCCGAGTATGATCTAGCGGAAGAGGAACTCAATTAATTGCACTCGAGAACTTCGATTCTTAACTGAATGATCTCTGTCTAGGAAATTTAATCACTCGATCCAAACTAACTTGAGATCGCGATCCCTAGTACGCAAGAATCGAGTTCCTTAAATTTAATACAACACGCACATCGATTCCTATCATAAGGAGCTTTCGGGCAGCCTTGAACCATTGCCGATCCCGTTCCCAACAACTATCAAATCGGAGTCCTTGCACATCAAAGAGAAGTTGGGATAGACACGCCTCTCTTAAACAAATGATCTAACTATCAACACCTTATTCGAGACTACAAGCCATGAAGATGAATAACTCTTATGGGGACAAGGGGTGGACCCAATTCCTTGAGACTCGGAGTTTTCTTCATAGTGATGGTATTATACATTGACCTCACAAAGCTCTTCCTTGGAATCTCAATTCCATATCATTCTATCTTCATCTCTTGGTGAGAGAAAAAAGCTTTTGCAGACCTTTTGTAACCTAATGAAGGCCTCAATTTCATTATTTTTGTGTGTTCTATGCACAGGGGACCAAGTAGCTTGTGACCTATTGTTTCTACCACAGTTATATTTGGTTTTAGAGCCAAGTTGAACAAATTTACATGACTAGATATATTTTTGTGTGTTCAATAGCACAAGGGACCAAGATCCCGGGCTCGATTGAATGATCCAAACTACCTATCTCACCTATGCCGAAAGAAAATTCCCTACCTCTATTGTCTGTTGAAGACTAGTCAAATACTTATATTTTTGTGTGTGCAATGCACAAGGGACCAAGTAGCTTGTGACATATTGTTTCTACCACAACTATATTTGGTTTCATAGCCAGCCTGAACAACTCTGCATGACTAGATATATTTCTTTCAAAGGTTGTGACACAATCCACCTATCAAGCCAAAACTGAGTACCTACCATATTTCACCTTCATTCTCACCTTTACTGAAAAGGTCAATCAGCAGTTATCACGACCATTCCACACCCCTGGAAGTCTTCTTCCAATTAAGTATCCTTGACCAGCAATTATTAACTGCATTCCACACCCCTAAAAATCTTTATCCAATTAAATATCCCCTCACCAACCTCCCTACTTCATCTACCCCATATCACCTGCTAGTACGTTTCGTGATTGTGCTACTCTTTTACTATTCTTTTTTGATAAAATATATGAATATGGACCTATCAAGTCAAACCTAGACAATGAAAACCAACTAGACTCACCAAAAGAGTGAATTAGGGTTTTAAAGCATCAGAAGGTGTGTATGCATAACCCAAAGTGTGTCTATAGAATCGTATTGAAGGCCAAAGCATATAAGGGCCTATGCCTTTCTCACTACACGATGTCACCGCTTTCACAAATACCTCGTAGCAAGCATCTAGTTTCATTAACAAATGTAACATACTCTAGCCCACTCTAAGAGCAAACTTCCCGTTATATTTCCTTCCAATCCCGCAAGCTAAGTCACCATCAAGCACAATCCATTGACCACATATGACATGCTCAATTACATTATTAGCCAGCCACTCACTAAAAGAATGTTGTAGGCATAAAATAAGTTGTAGGCATAAAATAATGTAACCTAATTTTGAAATCATAAAATTGAGAGAAGATCAAATAAGGAGATGACCCCTCTTTGATACAGCCTTCTTTTATTATACATTCACTATCAGATTCTAAACCCCATCCCTACACCCCCCCAGCCAGAGGTGGAGAATAAAAGGTTTTAATACTTTACCTGGTAATCTGGTAAATCAGGTTACTCCTTTAACCCAAAAATCAAAGGCTCATGCTTTAATGTCTCAACTCCCCGAACTTATCTTTATGAAACCTCAACTCAAACCTCCTTTGTCTCTATCCCTCTTATTTTCTTGTGCAAATCCCAAAGGGAAAACTTCTCTCTCTCAAAACTACCCCAAACTCAATCTACCCTAGACATCCTAGGCCTAAAGGAAAACTTGCCCATTGTTCCTCTTCACGTGTGAGTCATGATAAACCATATGTTACTCCTTTCTAATGTGAACATAGGAATTTCCACAAAGAAATATGTGAATTTCCAAAGTATTAATGTTTTGGGTCTTTAAAGATGAATAAAGGCAACATAGTTAGTGAGCATTTTTTGGAGGAAAATGTTTATATAGAGCCGAGGCTCTAAACAATCAAATTAGAGCGCATCTAAAAAATTTCATTAGAAGAGGTTGTTTTGATGCCCAAATATCCTCAAATTATTCATCTCGACATCAAGATGCATGGACATGATAAAAAAATAGATTTCAAGTTTTGGAAATAGTGCATCTTGTAATGCATTTTGGACCATCAATTTTCAAGATTTTCAAGTTTTCACAGAACTGCTCGATCTACAGTATTTTTTATAATTAGAGATGAAAATATATTTTTTAAGGCTATCACAAAAATTTCCAGTATTGAAACCACATTTCTCGACACTGTTTGAAGGTCTGCTATACTTTGATTTTTTAGAGCCTCGGCTCTATATAAACCGCACCCTTTTTTTAATAGTTTACCAATTGACTAGAAATGCAACATGACAAAGAACAATAGAATGCTTTCCACTTGGAAATATCACTCAAGCAACAAACCCTCAAGCATTATCACATAAATCTGGAGTTAACATTTCAGAAGGTTCATGTCCCAATTGAACTCTCCCTCTCTATCCAAAGAG